TCTCAAATCCCTAAATATCCTTCACAATATAGACAACATAGTTTTTCTTGTCCAGGATAAGGGGAATTAGCACTTTTTGTGTATCTAACCATTTTTGGCCAGAATATTTGGCGCTCATTGTGGGGCATAGGTAAAACTCTCCCAGGCCACACCTTACACTAACAACATGTCCTCTAAAAGAGATCCTCCAGACATGGCTCAACTACTAGCCATGATGGAGGCCATGCGTCAGCAGAATGAGACGTTGCAAGACAACATACAAGTTCGGCAACAACAAAGTTAGGCTGATGGCGACCATGAGAAGAAGGTTCTCGAGCCACAACCCCTTTCTCAAAAGATATGGTATGACCACGTCCCGAAAAACTTTAAAGCACCATAACTAACCTCTTATGATGGGAAGACGGATCCTCAAGAGCATGTTATTGCCATGAACAATCAGATGGCCATATTTGCCCCTTTGGATTCACTGAAGTGCAAGCTCATGGCCGGTACCTTTAAGGATGTAGCTTTAAGATGGTACATGGTCCTTCCTCGGATCTCCATCGTAAGCTACCAAAACTTGACTAAGAAGCTTGTATAACACTTCTCGGCAAGTAAGCACCAGAAGATGTCCACGACTACACTGTTCAATGTTCGACAGAAACAATCAAAATTACTACGTGAGTACCTGACTCGATTCAATGAGGAAACCCTCAAAGTATCTCATACAAACCAGGAACTATTTGTGGGAGCTTTTCAACATGGATTATGACCCGGACAATTCAATGAGTCATTAGCTCAGAAGCCGACTATCAGCATGGACGAGATCACTACTTGGGTTGAGTGTTACATCAAAGGAGAAGAAAATAACCAAGAGAAAAGAGACCGAGACAGCAGTGAAAGGACAAATAGCAAGGAATAAGTGTCGAATAGGAGAAAGGAGCATCCTCGGGTAGCTATGCGCGAGCAACATGCTCCCAGACCATACAGACAATCATATGAGACGGACAGAGACCTCACCCCATTGAATGCAAGCAGGGGAGATATCCTTTAAAAAGTCGGCCATATGAACCTGTTACCGGAGCCTCACCATACCAAAAGAGCCAATGCTATCATGGGAAGGCAATATGAGGCTTGGCGTAATTACCACCATATACGAGAACATCACACCGAAGAATGTCAACAGCTGGCCGGGAGACTAGCCGCATTGTCACCATTTTTATCATGTGCAGGAGACAAATCAATACACTTCTTTGCAACTATAAGGAAGTATAAGGAGTTTGAATGGACAGGGGCATGTGAAGAAGCCTTTCAAAAAGTAAAGTGTTTTCTGTCCTCACCTCCTATCCTAGTAAGGCCCAAAGAAATCACATATTTGGTCTTATACTTGTCGGTCACGGATAAAGCCCTTAACTCGATTTTAGTACAAGATAGAGAAGACGAAGAGTGACCCACGTACTTTATCAGCAAAGTTCTAAAAGGGGAAGAGCTAAGGAACAAGAAGATTGAACGGTTGGTGCTGGCAGTAGTTATCACAGTCCGGAAGCTGAGACATTATTTTCAAGGTCACCCCATCACATTTAAGACGAATTACCCAATCAAACAAATACTAAAAAAAGACCGACTTAGTAGGACAGATGATCAAGTGGGCAGTAGAGCTCTCCAAGTATGACATCAACCTTGTGCCCAGAACCAATATCAAGTCACATACACTGGCTGATTTTGTGGTAGAGTTAAGTGCACAAGCTGGAGAAGAGATCTCAAACAGATGGATCATTTATGTATATGGATCTTCAAATCTCAAGGGAAGCGGAGCCAGAATAATTCTGGAAGGACCCAAAGATCTAACATTAGAATACTCTTTAGGTTTCAATTTTCAGGTTAGCAACAACCAAGCAAAGTATCAAGATGTTATTGCTAGAATAAAATTGGCGAAAGAGGTTGGAGTAACACATTTATTAGTGAAGACCGACTCCCAACTGTGGTCGTACAGATGAAGAATGAGTACCTGAAGAAGGATTCCACCCTGATAAAGTACCTTCAGAAAGCTTCAGGAATATCCAAAGCATTCTCAAAATTTGAAGTCGTCCACATCCCAAGAGAAGACAACATCCGGGCCGACCTCCTAGCCCGATTAGCAAGCTCAAAGAATTCAAGAATGAATAAGACAATGGGTCAGCCATCAAGAACAAATATGAAGACAAATCTAACAAAGGAAAAAGAGTTCAATGTCATGATTGTGAAGGGTTTAGTCACATTAAAGCTGGATGTCCTACTTTTCTAAAGAAACATAAAAAGGGTCCCCTTCGAGAATACTGAAGTCGTGCTGCATATCAGGTTTCTCAGCTAGTAAGGGAGTAAAAACTCCAAGTTGCAGCGTTTGAACAGTTCTCTTTCGTGGAGGAGGTAGAACCAAATCTGGATGCGGAAGAAATTCGACATCAAGAGTCATCTCGCTTTGAGGAAGGTGGGTTGTGTTTCATTGATTTCCAACTGTCGATGTCGCACTAGCAGCGACTAGAGCAATTTCGCGTGTGGTGGTAGAACGAGTAGCTCTAGATCCATCCATTTCCACAAATTAAAGAAGTCATATATACAGAGGATTAAAGATCCGAAAAATTGATAGATTGCAAAAGGTTGTGAGATTTGAATTGATCGGATGTAACCGAATATTGTGCATGATTTTCTAGATTTTTTGTTCACACCTCAAAGAGAACTTTACGTTCGAAAATTTAACACAGAGGTATAGAGTCGCAAGAATGCAGGAACCAGAATTCAAACACAATTTACAAGGTAGGTACAAAACACACTGCATATGTTCAAAAGGAACTGCATAGATTCAAAACACATTACATTTCCAAAACACATGTTCAAACTTAAACAAACATATAACTTAAACTGCGTTCAACAGACAAAATGACAGATAACAATTCTAAGTTAAACTAAATTTTCTTCTTTGGTCTGAATCTCTTAGTTGGTGTTGTCTTTCTTGTTGTTGGCCCAATTGCAGTCTTGGTTGCACTCGATCTAGTTGTAGGTCCTGGTGACACAAATGGTATTAATGGCCTTCTGACTCACATCCATCTTTACACCTAACTCTCACCCTTATCTTATCATTTTTAGTGAACTTCAATTTTCTGCCATATTGGAATGCATATGAGGTTACTGCTTCCTTAAAATCACCTTTGGTACTAAAATATATTTCCACCTCTCATTTGTAATTGGAAATGTCTTTTTGTAACTTGAACATTAGACACTTCTTTCTTCTAACTCCACTACTATCATCGTTCTCGCACCCACTTTCTAGATCCTCACTTTCATTATCACTCCCTTTAAATTCTTCTTTGTTTTCTTCTCACTTTTCTTTACCTTTTTTGGTGTTCTCCTTTTGATCATCTTTACTCACATAATCAATTAGATTAGCCATTTCATCTTCCTCAACCAATTCATCATCATACTCATCAAATTCATCATCAAATACTACCTCCACTGTATTATCATAATTGAAGCTCTCATCCTCACTGTCATCAGAACTAACATCATCATGCACCTCACCACCCCCATGTCCATTACCATCATTTGCCTTAGTTTCCATTGCCTCAATTTCCATTGCCTCATTTTCCCTTACATCAGTTTCCTTCATCTCACTTTCTTTCAATTTAGTTTCCCTTGCCTTATTATCCTTCAACTTAGTTTTCTTTAACCCCTCATTAACTACTTCTTCACACACTACAACAAGCACTTCTTCACTCTCATTTGCAATGTCATTTTGCTCTACTTCTATCTAATCAAAGGGACCATTATAATACTTAGGTTGAGACAATATTTATTGAATATAAATGTCAACACTAAGATGCACCTTATAGAGATCAGCAATCTCTAAGGCACCTTTCTCATCAACCAACAAATTCATCCCAAATGTGGGATCCCCGTAATATATCTTATTTATGGCATTATAACATAAATCCTCAAAACAACCTAACAACTCAAAATAACTCCACATATCAACCTCTATTTTCAAATCATCCACCCCACCTCCTTCGTACACACTAAATTCCTCATCAACAAATTCACCACTATAATGGATTTTTAGATGTAAATGTTCATCCATTTCAAACTATTCCCTAAAATAGAATCGAAGAAAAATATGGATTTCAAAAAGATTTCATAAACCCTAAAACAACAACATTAAAAATTTGTAAAATAATCAGTTCAAACATACATCGAATGAGCTATGGTGTCTTCAATTTCACCTTGAATGAACGTTTTCACCTCAAATCACAACTGATGCCCCTTCAAGAAATGTCAATTGCTGCGTTAGGATTTGATGCAAGTATTCTGAATGTCTCAATTCATTTTACTTTCTTTTTTAAAGTTGTACACTTAAATTCCACATGGGCGAGAGATTCCATATCAGCTACACGTGTGCACCACTTGTACACAAATATTAACTTTGACTAATGAGACAAACAAAAACGATGAACATAACACTATTTGAACAATTAAATGATCAACTTAAAAAATTTTAAAATTAAAGAACCAAAATAATTCCCAAAATAAAATTAAAAAAAAAAGGTATTTTGCCGGAAGTAATACCATAAAAGAAATATTTTTATTTCAATTTATGTTAAACCCTAAACTAAAACACTTGTCAACAGAAATGTAAAACCCTAGAACACAACAAAAATTCAGCACGCTTTACCCTTGTTGTCTTGTGTCAGAAACAAATCGGAGCCGCACTGATATCAACCAACTTGCCGGAGCTCGCCGCCGAAGTTTCTCATCGGTCACCAGAAACTGTGACAACGCCGTCCAGGTTTTCCATCTTTATTTCTGTTGTGAATTTTCGTTCTCCTTTCAGAACAGAGAAAATGGCGTAGTTGGTATGCTGTATTGCGTGTATTCAAACTGAAACCCTAATTTATTCAATCATCATTTTCATCCCATTACCAGTATTCAGATTGATTCAGTAGAAATTGATAAAATTGCATTTGATTTTGAGAATCAGCTATTGAAAAAAAATGGCTGTTCCAAGTTCCGTTTTGAAAGTAGAAGAAATTCAAGGAAGAGGAAGAGGAATTGTTGCATCTCAGCCTCTCAAAGCTGGCCAAATCATCCTCAAAGATTCTCCAATCCTTCTCTACCCTACTTCCCCTTTCTCTCAACACTCTTCTTCTTTTTGTGACCATTGCTTCAAATATTGTTCATCATCTTCACTTGTTTCATGCCCTTCTTGTAACCGATATCGCTTTTGCGATTCGACTTGTCTCTCGAAAGCTCTGAACTCCTCTCATTCTACCTTTGTTTGTCAATCATTATCTAAACTAGAATCCAATCTGCTTCTCCTTCAACAAGCTGTCGAATGTCAACTCCAAGCTCGTTATCTCGTTGCTGCTTACAATCTTGCTGTTAACAACTCGTCAAATTTTCAGATTTTGTTGTCTCTTCAGGGTTCTTTTGATAATGACGGTGCAGCTCAGTTTCTACATCCCATTATTTCATCCCTGTTTTCGCACCCGCATAATGAATTATTTTCTTTGCAACTCACTTCTTCACTTCTTGCTAAGGATAAGCTCAATGCTTTTGGTATAATGCATCCTTTCTCTGAAAATGATGAACATAGGTCTGTTAGAGCTTATGGTATTTACCCTTACGCATCCTTTTTCAACCATGATTGTCTTCCCAATGCCTGTAGATTTGATTATGTTGACGTGAATCCACCTTATCATGCCGATGGTCTTAATAATACGGATTTTGTTATTAGGATGATTCATGATGTTCCACAGGGTAGAGAGATTTGTTTGAGTTATTTTCCTGTTAATGAAAACTATTCTAGTAGGCAGAAAAGATTGTTGGAAGACTATGGTTTTGCGTGTAATTGTGATCGATGTAATGTCGAATCGAATTGGTCAGATAATGAGAGTGTTGAAGAAAATGCAGAGGAGGATAAACAAGAGGTTATGGTTATGGATGAGGAGGAGGAGGATGAGCAATGTGAAAACATGGAACCATCAGATACTGATAATAACGATTTCCCACATGCTTATTTCTTTTTAAAATACATGTGTGATAGAACAAATTGCTGGGGAACTTTAGCTCCTCTACCACCTAAGGGGGATGCATTATCTAATGTCATGGAATGTAATGTCTGTGGTAAATTGAAGAGTGATGATGACGACATCAATGTCGATGATAAAGGGCAAGATGGAGAAGTTCCTATGGAGGACTAAGCATTCAGGATGGCACTTTTGTAAGTCTTCCTGCACCCATCTAAATGTTTTCGTGATTAATTTATATTTAATTCGTTCTCGTTGCATCAATTTTTTTTGCCACTTATACAACTCTGCATTGGTCTGCTCACCAATTTTTGGGTTATTATTATTATTATTGTTATGAATCTTTGCATACATTTAGGTTTGGCATCATTTCCCTAAGCATGCATATGTATAAAAAACTACTAAGAAGTTATTGAAATTTCACCACTTGATTTTTTAAACGGTGACTATAGCTCCTCTCCCTATACTTTAATCAGTTGATCAATTTAGAGGATCTTAATCCTCTGTTCTGGATGGTTGTGGCTTTTTGGTTTTTGGTTTTGAAAGTTAATTTCAATATCCAAACCCGTCCATCTAAAAGGGGGTTGAGTTAGTTTTTTACTTTAATTCGAAACATATTTTCAACTAAAAATAAGTTTTATAATTTGTGTTTTTTTCTTAACGCAAAGACATCACCGTCCCTCTACTTGGTCTATCATTTTGACCACCTCTGTTACCAATTCAACTATCACAGCCAACTATCTCTATGACCACCTTCGATCACCATTTTATCTCCCTATTATCTCCAATCAAACCTCCGCAAACTATCATTATAATCATCACTCCGACCACCGTCAACCACAACTCTAACCACCATTGACCATCATTCTAACCACAATTAATCACCATTTCATCCACCTCTAATCACCAAATCTGACCACCACTTTGACCAGTGTCAACTGCCACTTTGACCATTGCCCAACCCAATGACAACCCCATCCATTTCAACCACCACTAATCACCACTGCCCACTAACCACTAGTGATCCCCACTATGATATGTGTCTGCTGACTCTTTCAATTTTCAAACTACTAAATAAATATATTATATATTTTTAATATTTACTTACTTTGCCAACTTAACGATATCAATTGTTTAGATTAAGATATATTTATTATAAATATTTATTTTCAACACTGATTTTGGTTTTTAAAATTTTCACAACTTGAAATTTTTTTAATTCAAACTTGAAATTGGTTTTTAAAAATTTAAAAATTTAAAAATATAAAATAGAAAACCACCCTGAATGGGGTTTAAACTTTTTTTCAGTATGTTTATGTTTACAAAATATATTCGGGAGGTTGTCTTGCAGTTGCAGAAAACATATAGATCTGTTACAACTGTAGAACTTAATTTAGGAGTTTAAAACGTTTGATTTTCTTCCTATGTTATTATTACAATTCGTTCAGGTTTGACCTAATGTTTTTCTAATGATTTTAACAAAATTTGCTGTCAAACCATTATTAGTCCTGGGTCCCTCTCTGTTCATGTCATTTCTTAAGGGAAAGATAATGCACGAGGATTAGTCATTGATAATCATAACATGGGATGGAATGAAATGAAGATTAGGAAGTAAAAGAATTGGAATACATGCTGCTATACCTAAAAAGAAAAAGAAATGTAACCCGTATGTTGAATAGTTGTAATCAATTCAAACATAAAGTTGTCTTGTCTGTTTTTTTTCTCCTTTTACCCTCTTTCACAAACGGCTTGTTTATCACACCTTCCAACTTTTTTTCATTTTTCTGTTATATTTAGAATTTCGAAATGTATGGATAGACTTTCGATCTCTTCTTTGTTATTGCTGATATCCTCATTTTCTTTGACTTTGATGAGCGTTCCATTCCATTACCTGTTGCTGTTTAATCATATACATGCATCGGTTAACCATTTTATCTAATTGGATCATGGGTTATTTGCAGAATAGATGTATTATTGTAGGCATTGTTGCATGCAGATGGAGGGAATTCTTCCTGGATTTTCTGCATATTGCAGTATTGCACTCTTTACAAGCTGGGTCAGAGCTTAAAGCTCAAGAATCAAATGAAACTTTTACGTATGTTTTAGTGAGTGTAATATTATGTTTTATGCTCAGGTTTGATTTTCTTTTTTTCTCTTCGAAATTCTGCTTTAAATTTTGCGGGAAAATCATCAGGATCTCAGTTTTTGAAATACATTATACTTTTATTTTAGATAAAAGTAGCAAAACTCTCTTGCTTGATGACAATATTTTGTAGTATTTATTTTTTGATATTATTTTGTAATTTAAACAAATTAAGTTAATTTGTCAAACCGCAATGGTTTTATCTAGTCTTTTATTTGGTGTATATCCTTCTCTTTTGTAAAAAGAAAAGGTACTCCTATTTTAATTTCAAAAAATAAAGTGTGTAAATTTATTGAGATACTTTAACTTAAAAAAAAATAAAGGACGTAGATAAATGAGATATTTTAATTCAAAAAATATAAAGGATGTGGATAAAAATGCACACTTGCATGTCTTTGGGTAAAGTTTACGGAATATGTGCTTTTTTTTTTCTTTGTATAAATCCTAAAGAGAAAACCTATAAAGAGATTTTTAAAACAATGTTTTTAAAAATCGGATTGGAGATCGAATTGGTAAAATTTACGGTTTAAGGTTTAATTGGTTAAATCGGTTAAATCTATGGTCGAATTGTTTATTAAATAAACTAATAATATGAAACTAAATTTCATAAATATGTAATTATATGTTCTCAACTTAATAAAATAAATATTTCAAAAATTTATTACAAATTTAATACAATAATATCAATAATACATAACATTAATATAGTTCTACACTTCATTTTAACCATCATTTCATAATATTTTGACCAAATAAAAACATTACAACAAAATAAATTAAACTAATTCAAATCAAAATTAAAATAATAAAATATAATAACAAAAATAAAAATTCAAATAATTAAGGATATCTAAATTAAATAAGATAGAATATCAAAATATAAATAATACAATATATTTTATTAAACAATAAAAAATCGAATTTGAGTTGTGATACAACAAACAAGTTTTAATAGACAAACAATATTGACTTGAACGACAATCAAATAGAATTTGACATCCTGATTATGTTTGAAAGAAACAACATAATGATAATGAAGTAATAAAACTTAGAAGTTTGTATAATTGTAAAAAACACACTGAATTTGTTTTTGTGATTAAGAATGTATGTTAAGTTTTTAAATTAACATATTTAAAAAAAAAATAGTCAATTTGAATTTTTTTGAATCAACGGTTTTACAAAATCGCCTCCGATTTTTTGATTCAAATGATTTTAGACGGTTTAATCTTGGTTTTAAAAAAAAAATAGTCAATTTGAATTTTTTTGAACCGACGGTTTTACAAAATCGGCTCCGATTTTTTGATTCGAATGATTTTGGACGGTTTAATCTTGGTTTTTAACCATTAGCGATTTTGAAAGATTGACTCAACCAAATTCATCTCCGATTTCCGGTTCAAACGATTGAAGTTGTCAATTTAGTCAGAGTTTTAAAACATTGGTTTAAAATTTAGGTTCTAATGAATTTAAGCATATCTTAAATTCAAATTTTAGACTTTGGAGATACGAAATAATTTAAACAAATTCATGTCGATTAATGAGAAAAATATATGTAACAGAAATTTCATAAGAATCTGGTGGGAAATAAACACTAATCGTACACCTATAACAAGGACAATCACCAACTCTTACCAACCTTACACTTAAATTCCAACTCCATATTGATTAATAGCTTAATATAATTTCCAAAAAAATTGCCATTTTGCATGAATTAATGCAAAGCAACTTAGATGAAAAATAGCATAACTCTAATGATACCAAACACTTTCAAATATTTAATTTTGCGATCAATGCATATCTAAATCACACACTATTCATATCTTGATCCATCATTTGTATCATCATATTAGGTCAAAAAATTAAATTGATATGTACATGCATTTATTAATTTAAAAGAGTTATTCTAAAACTAAAAAGTTTAAAAATTAAGATGATAAGTACTGACTTAATTAAGTGATTTACCTTTTTAGGTTATTTTAATGGACTCTTTAAGGATTTTAGTGCAGTGTGCCTTTTATGGTTTATGATATGAATTAATATTTTAAACGAAAATAGGACATATAAGAATTTTTTTCTTTCTATTATTGTACTAAGCAATTAAAATTTCACGGGCTTTAATTAAAATTTGATTCAATGCTTTGGGCTCAATTATCATAATCTCTGTAAACTCTTGATCGTAGCATTAAATATTTTCAACATCATAATTGTTTGCCTGTTTTATCTAAGTACTCATAAAATGTTGCTATGAATGTAAATAGAAATTGCGTTTTTGAAATTATTATGAATTCAAATTTCCACTATAGTCGGTAAATATTTATTTACATGTCAAAAAGTGACATTTTCCCATAATGTTTCTTTCATAATTAATGAAGTTAGAATTCAGAAACCTTTTCTAGTATATTATATGTAAATTTCATCTAAATTATTGTAATACATAATTATAATATTATTGTGAATAAAAAGCCTCTGTTAAAATTCAATAAATTATGACACAAAGAACCACATAGATTTAGACATATATTGGTGTTGGATTGTGAGTGCAACAATCAATATCCACACAAACTACAATGTCTGTTTGTGTTTGTGAGAGTAACAAAATTCAAACCCCAAGGATAAGAAAAAGATGGTCCCTAAGACCAAATTCCATGATTTATTCCATCTTCTTCTTCTATTCATCTTTTTATATGGGCCCCTCAAAAGCATGCCATCTTAGTGGGACCCACCAAGAAGATTTTTCCATGTGGTGGTGCAAAATAGACTTACTATATCAACCCCACCAATGAGTGACATAATATGCAACTAAAATATTGCTTCATCAATTCACAATAATACATCTATTTAATCATTTCATAAAAATAATTTTATTTTGTTTCTTAACCAAAATAACCATAATCTTGTTGACTATCACTCTCTTCTCTGCCCTTGCATTTGACTCAAAACGCGTGTTAGACTCAATTGATTATTGAAGACGATATATTTCAGAGATATTCTTATAATATTACCTGTAATATCATATATATATTTTTTGTAAAAATGAAACTCGAATTCATTCGGATAATAAGACATAACTACGACGAGGTGGTGGTGGAGTATAGACACTTGAAACACCTTGCCTATTGTGTGCATTAGAGGAACAAGGGTCCATGTCAATGAAGGACAAAAAAACACAAAAGAAAAAGCTGAAATTTGAATTATGTCTCTTTGAGGTGGATATGTCTTTTTTGACACACCTAAACTATATTGCTTTTTCATTTAAGACCAGAAGCACAATATGATAGCCATAGCAATTATTTAGTCCCCCACATATGTAACCAAATGAAATAAAATTTAAAAAATAAAGTGAATCTTACTACATTTTCAGAATCCCAAGAAACATTCACTTTTAATATCCTTGCCCCTGCATTGACTGACTCCAACTATATACTCATCCAAGTTTCCATTACTTTTTCTATTTCCTTCCACAACTTCACAACTTGTACATAAATACACACATCCCTTCTCATCATTTTTTGTCACCTCAAAATGAATCATCTTCATTCTCTACCTTATACGAATACCTTACTCTATGCTTCTTCCATAGGTTTGGATTATCATAATCTTGGACTTCTCAATTCAGACAACGACATGTCTTTAAGTACTATATATACTTTTCTTTCTTTCTATAATGTTTTTTACTATATTGGAATGAGTAATGTTAATGTTAATTTTGTCATGCCGCAGTTATGGATGTAACTGCGCCTTCATTTTCAACTGGCTATTTAGAAGATGCTTTGGTTGAGTTTGGTGAAAGTTCTAAACGTAGACGGTTACTGCCATACACTGATACTGATGATGAACAAAGCAAGAGTAGTATTACTACTACTACTTCCATGGATGATTTTGATAAGGTATAGTTGAATATGTTTTCTTTTGTCTTTGATTTTAAGTTTGAAATTGTTGTAGTTTTGGAAATGAGACTTATTTTTCTATGTAACTTCAGAATTTCTGGAATTTCAACCCTATATGGAACCAACCAGTGGAGAATTTCTACTGCATGGATCAGATTGAAAGGATTTGTGGATTTTCAGGTATTTTTCTTTGCTTTTTACATGCATTCATATGATGATCAATTTGGTTGAAAATGTTAACATAGACACGCACCAGACATTATATTGATAATAATTTAAAAAATTGAATTTAAATGTGTATGTGTCAGTGTTACGTAGATGTGTAATACAGACACATGTCAGACATCTGATATATCTTCAATTTGAATTATCTAGGCTATCATTGCAATTAAAACATAAAAAGTTAGTGTTTCCTTTGTAATTAGTTATTGATGGAGAATTTGAAAAAGAATCCCAATGAAATAAAAAAGAAAAAAGGAAAAGTAGGCTACTGTTGATTATATTAATAACTGTTTCTTACTATTATTTTTATTTGTTAATTTGTGATTTAGATGAGCATATAAGTCCCTTGAGAAGTAGAATCAATGAGCAACAAAACAATCTAGTAGAAGACACAAAAACAACACAAGAGACAATATCAGCTTCTGAGTCTCCAAATTCATCCTCATCTTCATACAAAGAATTATTGCCCAAAACACTTGGTACTATTACTTCTTACATATATTTTCCGGTGGCAGATACATTATTTATTCAATGAACCTAAAATATAAATGATTGGAACAGGAAGTAGTAGTAGCGAGGAGATGATGATGAGAAAGAAGAGGGTGATAAGAAGTAGTACAAGAGTGGTGTATCCATTTGCATTAGTAAAACCTGGAGGAGAAGAAGATGAAGTGACATTGAAAGACATAAACGAAAGGATGTTAATGGCACCAACAAGACCAGTAAGGCATCCAGTAGGTGACTTTGCATGTCGGCCATGCGTGTCTGCAACAGGTCCAGGCCTTTCAGGGAAAGCAGTGGTGGCCCTTACTAGAATCCACACTCAAGGTAGAAGAGGCACCATCACTATTATCAGAACCAAAAACTAGATAATTCACAACACTGTGTTATGGCTTATTTAGCTTTTACTACTTGTAATGTAGCAGCTTTTTCACCCTCGTTTTCTTTTCTTTGTTTTCATGTCCTTAATTGTAAAGATGGAAACTGACATATATAAATATTTTTGTATAAATTTTGTTGTATAATATTAAAGCTGTTCTTCTCATAGATTCAGACCAAACATGCATGGACAATTATTTTTAATGTTGTCTAGCTCCAAAATGGAAATTTTAAAAAGTAAAATTGACACTGATAAATCAACACCAATAATAATTTTAATAAAAGATTAAATATTACATATATTAAACACAGACACACTTTTCTTTAAAGATATCTGATGAAACATAATATTTCTATATTGAAAATAAATAATAAAAATAAACAAATACAGCACAATGGAATTAAGCTTTTCTGCCACTATTTGAGACTTTGATAAAGACAGAACCAGAGTTGGTGGCATTTGGTGGCACTATTTCTGTTTCTGCACACTCTCACTTTATTCTTGGTGTAGGAACATTAATATATCTCTATTATATAGTATAGTATAGTATATTTAAATGTTAATTAAAATGAAAATTTTCAAATAATATAATATAGTTTATAAAAAAAATACTAACAAAATGCCAAATATAAAGAACAAGAATAAATGATTGCTGAACATAGAAGCAAGTATTTTTTTTTTCTCTTTTTTCTTTAAATTTTCTTCTTTTTTCTTTATTGATAAGATAATACTACTTTTTTTAGTAAAGAAGAAAATAATGTGCAGACCTATATATTTAATTACCAACTTCAAAGAATTTAATCTAACTTTTTGTAAAATAAAGACAACTTATATATCTGCCACAAGACTTTTACCTTTTTCTTAATTAAAAATTTGTAGAACTAATCTTTCTAATTTAAGATAAATTATATAGTAATAGTAGAAACTTGTGACATAGATTCTCAAATGTATGAGTACGCACTAAAGAACAAAAACATATGACAAATTGAGGGAATAGTTTCTCTCTATTGAATCTAGTAAATTGATACCTCAATCATTTGTCTTGCACTTAATATTTAATTATTTTCATGTAGTGGTTACCACAAAAAGCACTAAAATTCTTCATGCCTATAATATTTTTGTTTTCATATGTTGTGGCATTTTCCTCATAGGTCAAACACTAATTAAATTTTTAAACAGAGTATCTAATATGGACCCCCATGAAATAACAATAAATTTAAATATGTATTCATAATCTCTACATGCTTTATGCTCCTAGATTCATCACTAATTATTTTTGTGTGCTAGAAAATTAAATTGTTTGGCCATAGAAATAATTGAAAGGAACACTGTCATATAGCTGTACGGCAAAAGTATTTTCTCACTCAACATCTAATCAGACATTTATATGTTTTTTTTTAATATATGGTTTTGTCTCCTATAGGAACCATATATTGTCATTATTTAGAGAAAAAAGTTGTCTTAACTTTTTCCCTTTTATATTTTCTTCTTGGACCATCTTGTTTATGTAATTTCATGGACTGTTTGTCGTGTGAACTGAATTTTTATATACTTTTTATAATCAGTAACACAATTTAAAATGTAGTGAAAATGTTGTGGTTTTAATGTAAGAAATTTTGCAGAAAATTTTTATTCACTTTGAGGATGTTAAGAATAGCTAGATAATTTTGAATATTATTTAGAAGGAAAAGTAGAAAAATATTTAATATTATGTTGGTCTTGAAATTTAAAAGTGCTGTGAGTTATGATGATGCTGTAATGTAAATAAGCATCAAAGTGATTGGTAGACAGAAAGTGAGGATTGTTGATTGGTTTGACAAGAGCAGCTTTTATAGGATTGTAGTCAAAGAATGCAAACCAAGCATGAGTTGGAGTTCAATTTTACAGATTGCTATGGCTTGGGTGGATTAAGCAATCATTCGTGTGTGGGTTGGTGTTATTATGGACTTATCATCTTCTTATGTGTTTTTCAAAATATATTTTTATATAATATTGAATAAAAAGTAAAACTTAAAATAAAAAATAATAATGTCCTTTAAATCCATCAAATTTTTTGGACACCTGTATTTTTTTTGTACAAGTGAGAAAAAAAAATTATTTAGAAAATAAAGTTTTATTAGTAATAGTTAGTGATAATTCTAGCAAGTGGTTCCGTAAAAGATCGATACGCTGCATTATTATCAGTCTCGTGTAATATTTTTCTACGTAGTCGGCACAAATATTTTCTTGCATAAGAATATGAAATATTTAAACTCACCATTTCTTATAGAGAAGCTCTTTAATGTTGTGAAGAATCGTGACATAATGATGCAAAATATTTATAGACTTTGAGATAAGTTTGATAGTAAAGTTGGAGTCAGAATAACACATTAGGTATTCGTTGCCAAGTTCCTAATCCATACGCAAAACCATGAACCCAATTATCATCCGCATTTCGAATCAATCGACCAAACTCGAGACGTCGAGATTACGGAGGCTACTGCTATCAACATTCAAAATCATATTACTACTTTTAAGTGTGTTCCATGTGATTGTTCTCGTTGGATGAGTCGAATTATGCTTGAGAAAACATTTAGTTAATAGATTAACATAATTCACTATGACGAGTTTCAAAGTATGGGAAAATACCACTTCATTCGCAAGCATAATTTGTTCGTAGCATGCCACAACTCCCAACAAGCAGTCAAAAAGATAGAGCCACCATTGATGTCATGTCTAATCCAATCATATAAAATACACTCTTGAAAAAATAGTGGGTACAAGAAGCCAACAGATTTCCAAAAGCGAGTAGCCAATTCACAGTCTCCCAGACAGTATAAAGTCATCTCAGCGTCCTGATTGCATCTAGGATAGAGATTCATTTGGAGCATACCACAATGACACAACATCTGTCTCGTAGGAATAAATTTATGAAAAGTCTTCCAAATGAATAATTTCATCTTCTCAAGAGTAGAAATATGACACACTTATTTTGTTGTATTTTGAACAAATTCAAGTTATTTGAGCTAGTTATAACAATCCCAAACAATGTAGATACCATATAACAAATTGAACTTCTAAATCCCATCCAAGTGAACATCATTCACTCGCATTTTCAAATCATGAATATCCACATAGAGAACCTGCTCCGCTAATTTCCCTATCCCAGACCAATAGGTAAACCAGAAAGAGAAGCTCCCATCCCCCAATGAAATTCAAAGTCAAATTTAAGAGTAGAATGAGCTTTCATAATTCCATTATAAGTAACTGATCCCTATTTCTTTTTCATATTAAGAAATGTTTCGTCACTTCTATACTTATGCTTCAAAACTTGGACCCATGGGAAATCACAATCCTGGTGGAAACCCCAAACTAACATACACAACATAGAAGTATTGACCTCTCTTGATTTCCGGATCCTAAGACCACCTAAATTTTTGGGCTTAGTAATTTTATTCCAGCCAACGAGATGCACACCAAAGTTTGAATTACCTTTCCACAAAATATTCCTAGCCAACATGTCATACCCTAATTTTTACCCCTTAGATTCCATCTCATTTGCATGAAATTTAGCATTACACGTGTGTGTGTGTGTGTGTGTGTGTGTGTCTTTATGCATCACTAACCCATTACAAATACAAGAAATGTGTGTTTGCTTGCTTTACAAGTTAGGTTGTGCCTCAAGATGTTCAAGCTGATAATTAGCCAAGGATTGGTGTGATCTTCAACATCTCAAATCTCACATTCATTCACATTGATCAAGTGTATCCTCTTACCAATAATCAAGTGCAAGATTGCATTGAATCAAGATCAACAAGTCCCAAGTCATCTGGTGCATCTAAATTAGGGTTTTGACCTAATTCAGTCCTTGGGTTGGCTTTTGAAGCAGTGCATGATCCAATACCTTAAAACATGTTTCAAGGACCTAAAATTCACCATAATAGTCCATTCATATGATTGGATTGATCCAAGAAGTTTGGTTCAGGAGCAATTGAAAGAAATCAGGATTCATTTGAAAAAGTCAACTGCTCATCAAAATCAAAGTTTGACTTTTGAAATTTTTAGTCAAACATGGACTCCTCAAGTCAAAGATCATGAAAATATTTGAATTGGATCATGATCAATCAAGAAAATCAAAGAAAACATCCAAAGATCATAATTTGGGAAAATTAGGGTTTTTAAAATTTTCTAAGTTAAGAAATTCCATGATTTTTGCCCAGCTTCTCAAGTTCATAACTTTCTCTAAAAGCAACCATTTTCTTTGCTCCAAAGATCAAATTGAATATCTTATTTCATACTGCAACTTTGTCAAGGGGGATGGATTCCAAAAAATGCACGAATAAAGCGATATGAGGCCATGAAGTGGATGATCCACTCACTTTTGAACCAAAACACTTAGTGAAATTTTCAACCAATTCTGCCTATGACAAGTAACCAACTTTGCAGGCAATTTTCTTCAAGATTCAAGATGATTTAAGAAAAGCAATCAACATGGAAGTTATAGAGGATATTTCAAGCTTTCCAAAGAGTCCAAGAACAAAGATTTACCTTACTTGAGCATGAAGTTATGATTTTTGCAAGCGACATTGATGAAGTTGAACTCAAGACAACACACAAATTCAATATCACTTTTGATCACTTCGCAAGCATTATCTCTGCACAAGATCAATACAAATCTTGCAGTATCTCGTGAGATCTTCAAGATAGTACCAAGTTTTCTGAAGTTCTATCTCTTTGCATAGTAGAAAACCTCTTCCTAAGGCATGAACTTAAGTTTTGTTTTGGTGCATTAAGTGAAATGCCAATTAGTCAAGAAACTTATCCACCAAGTCAAGAATCTGGTTTAAGCATTAAGACTAAGTTGCAATCTGAATGATGATGGCCAAATTATCAAGATTTAATCATACTTAAAAAGAAAGCTACTTGTACCTTGGCATTCAGATTTAGGAACATGTCATAATTCATTGGATAATAGGATGCATCTCAATCCAAAACTTTTCCTCCAAAAAA